GATGGGTATAACGAATACTCCAGGAACACTTCCAGCCTTTATTTTCCCTGCTATAGTGAGCCTATTTACGCATGACGGGGTAAGAGATGAAACTCTTCATTTAAGAAATGTGCGAGAATCGGAAAATATCGAAAAAAAGAGAAAAAAAATATCCAAATATTAAATTTAGTACGACATGTGGAAAACGGCAGATGTTATTGTAATAATTAATGTTTCTATCTCGTATAATTTTTTCCATTATATCTAGACGTTTTAATAATTATCACAAATAATGGAAGTTTTTTCTTTATGTTTTATTAATCTAGTATATTTATAACGTAGCATACTATGGAACGATGGAAATATCCATTTTGGCTGGCTGTTATTGGACAGATGATTGGGTTCGTTGTGTTCACCGTCTTTGGATCGGCAGAGATTCAAGAATGGAATTACTATGGGGTAGAAACGGAAGAAAATTAGCAAACTGATTTGTAATATTGTATATTTCTGCATATTTATATTTCATAGTGAAAAATGTATTTTTATTAATAATATTATTATAGATTTTTCTTTCTTTGGATACGATAATAACTTTTAATTGTTTTTAAGTAGTAATATTTAATAGTAATATTTAATATTTGTAATTTTATCGTATCCAATGGAAAAGATTCGCTAGATTGATGGAATCTGCGAAGAATATTGGAATGATTGGTGGACTTTCCAGTTTTTCAATCATAATTGTATTTGTATCAGATAAAATTTATAGCAATTATTTTATTTATATATTATTGTTAAGTATATGTATACGTTTAAATATATTTCACGAAAAATAGTAAACGTTTATTCTATTAAAAACACGATATTGATGATAAAAAAAAATTACAAAAATCATCTTTCATTAGATAACGGAAAAGATGAAAATTGAAACTTGATTTTGTGGTTGATCGTATAGTTTTAGATTTTTTTTTATCTATCAACTACGAAAAATTCAAATTAAGAAAAAAAATTATAAGATTAATAAAACGTCCCTTAGATTCTTTTATCTATCTATCAAAATTGAATAATGAAAAATAAAAATTATCATACAAAATTTTTTTTTCTTTTCTGAAATCATTTATCATGATAGGTCGATCAATTAAGGATCATCGTTTGATATGAAAATCTTTCATGAAAAAGAAAAGAATCGCGGCCTCGGCAACTTTCTACTGCCTTATACGTCAACGATATATGGTTAAGTGTCAATAACATATCGACAGGATATTAATAATCGATAGTCACATCTCTAACACACTTCAGTCGTTAACGATAAACATCGACGAATCGGTGCATTTATGGAGACGACGAAACAGATTTTCGCAATCAAATAAGAAAATAAATGGTGCAATTGCCGTACTACGTGGTGCGAGAAACGATAGTGAACGATTAATGCGATAAATCGAAGAGATGGGTTAGTGAGAACAAATTTCTTTCAACTATATTCGTATCTTAAACATTCGAAATAATTAATTTTAATCATTTCGTTTACTATATAATAACGATATATACTTTTTCCATCCATAATTTAATATAATTTCTGCGAAACTTTTTCAAAGTAAGTCCACGATATTTTTGTATCTTAAAAATGACGAGCTAATCAAGCTTAATCTGAACGTAATTCCCTGAAAGGAAAGTAAAAATTTTTCACGATATTTCTCTCAATGAAATATAGCTAACGTTTATATTTATTGTAATATAGTTATTGCACGCGTTGGTTAAGCATGAAAATGAAATATTCCTCGACAGAGAATTCCTATCAGAAACTATTGATAACTAAAAAAATAGAATTCGTAGAAAGTATTCGTGGAAAGTTTCAATCAGTTTTACCAAACTTCTTTCCTGTTGTTGTTGATTATAAAAATGTATTGTATTTTTTTTCACAGGAAGCATCTCACCGAGTATTTGTCTCCTATAGTTGCAATTTTAGCTAATACTGTTTGTGTATCAGGATATCTGCACCGATTTGGCACCAAAACTACAGGAGAGTTTTAATAGGTATTAAAAATATTCCAGGAACTCTTCCAGCCTTTATTTTATTATAATGGATGTACTCACGAAGATGGGATAAGAGATAAAATCGGAAATGTGCAAGAAATTATTGAATCAAATCCCGAATAATTGAGAGAGGAAATGAAATTTTTATAAAAGTTGCTCTTTTTTTAAATACGCTTTTTATAATTATGATAATTGCATGCATTATATTAAACTTTTATTTTTATCTTTATTTTTATCTTGTATAATACTATATAAATATATACATAATAGTAATAATACAGATATTTTCATTTTGGCTGTTGCACAATCGATTGCATTTCTTATATTCGCCATCTTTGATGTTGTAAGAGTGAAATTACGAAACGAAGAAAATTAGTAAATTAATTTGTATTATTTGTTTTTTGTGTTTTGTTTTGTGTGTTTACGCTATTTTTTCGTATCCAGTGAGAAAGAAATTTTTCATAATAAAATTGATAGTTTTATTAGTCATCTAATCCATCTATCCAAAATGAAAGATTTGCTAGATTGACGAATCTAGACAAAATATTCGAAGTTATTTTTACTTTATATTTTTATATTTTTCTATTGCAATTATATTGTTATGTATATTTTAAATACGTACATTTTAAGAATGAATTAAAGATTAATTGATTTATTACATCGAAATTATTGCATTTAAGAGATAAAAAGAAATCTCCAAGCTTCATTTTTTAAATATTTTTATTTAATTTTGAATATAAAAATTTGCTTAAAAAAAATCTGAACGATCAATTTTCTATTCTTGATTGAACAAGATCTCTGATAAACTGTTAATTATCATAATTTAAGTCACAATTACATTTACAACTTGTTAAAGAAAGGGAAATAAATATTTCACCTGATAATGAAATAATTTATCACGATTCTTACGTCGTTAAGTACGACGTGCATAAAAATAGATTGTTATATTCGTGTTATTATCGTAGCTTTAACGTTAATTGTTCAACGAACACGCGGCACTATCAGCGAGCGGCAATATTTTAACCTCATCTTTTGCGGTATCTGCATGTACATGCGATGCACTTAACAACATGCTAATGCACGTGTTAGTGGCATTTTAGATCGTAGTAGAGGCGGAGCAATAAATTCTCCTATGCGTGATTAATTTCTGCTTCGAGTAAAACGATAAAGCGAATGTATTAACTCTGAGAAATAAACGATACGATATTCGAAGCATCCAAATTTTCTTTATTGCAAGAATAATTAACGATAACATTTCTTGGAAATGTCATAAAAATTCCCATTTTCTTTTTCTTCCTTTAATCCAATTTAATAAAAAAAAAATCTACGAGGAATCAAAGAGGATATTCCACTTAAAAATTCTCCACTTGCTGAAGGAATGGTCTATAAATCTTGCGTTGCCGATCTCACGCAACGATTCAACGATTTGTCGAAGGATAGGAGAGCATCTGAAAAAAGTCTGGCAGGATACAGGATCGCGATTTCAATGTTAATCGAGCATTTCACCGGTCCAAGCGAGCCACCCAAGTAGCGTGGCGAATGCGCAACACATGTTTCGAGTCGCGAGCAACAGACTGTTTCGCGCGTCGCGATTAATCTTACATGTGTTCCCCGAATTTCGTCTCGCACGCAATTCGAGGGATACACGGGCGGCCAGAAAAAGAGCGTGAGGTGAAACGTGCGAAAATTGACAATCATCGGGGTAGAATGTGAAAAAAAGAAGAAAAAAAAGAAATCATTTATCGTGACAAAAGACCGGCCTAAATTTCTCTGAAGTGCAAAAATGTGATTCATCTTCCCTCCTCTCTGATAATTTTTCGATTCGTCATAGCGTTTCGAACATGAAACGTGATCGACAAAGATATACTCACGAGTATTAATTAATATAACAATTATTCAAATTTTTTTCTCACTTGGAAAAAATTCTAATTATACTTGACCAAACACGATCAAGCATCATAAGTCGCAAGCTCCTAATCCACGTTTAAATAACACGCGTTTGCTATAACGATTCATAAAATTTATCGAATTTATATCGAAGAAGAGAGTAAGAAGGGAAGAAGAAAAAATGGGGAATAATATTCCGTTGCCGTTTTAAGAATCCGGTTTTTAAGCTCGTGTTATCAGGTTTTCAATTTATCTACATTAACTCCTCGGTTTGGAGGGCCGTTAACGACGTTTCCTTGAATTTAGACTAATTTACACAACGAAAGGATTACGGAGATTGTGTATTAATCGAGGTCAAGATAAAGCTTCGAGAGATTTCGAGCCGGGACCATCCATCAATGCTATGCCCAGGCGATTAATCAAACTCATTCGATCCACCTCGTCGCCACGACTACTTTTATTCCTTATTAATTACTTGGCTTGGCTAGAGGCTAGACGAGGCGAGCAACGCTGTACACAACACTTGGTTGTTCCAGAAGGTTGGTTTCGCGTTAAATATGGGCGTATGGGGAAAGAGGTGCGTGGTTGTTGTTGCTTCTGAATATGGAGATCGTCGCCACCGGTGAAAGAGGAGGAAGAGCATAATTTGTCAAGTGTTAACGCCAACCTTCCAACTTGCCTGTACGTCATCGTATGACTCGTAAAGCTCAGCCCCCTCCCTCCTCCTCCCCCGATCGCTTCACCAAGGAGGCCATGGAACAGGCTCTTCTATTCCTTGAAAATCGCGATTAAACCGAGCATTCTGTCAGTGTAATGGAGTTTACTTCACGTTGCTTTAACAATGACGTTTAAACACGGTTTATTGTAACCAGAGAAAAAGAGCGAAAGAGATTTTGACACGTAATTTTTTTTAATTTTTATTGCGTATTTTAAAGGGCAAATGTGATAAATAATTTAACAATTTAAAATGGAACCGAGCAAGGATCGAAAGAACAAACCGAAAAGAAGGAATAAAATTATTTCTATTTTGAAGATTCATTTTCGAATAAATCAAGTTTCAGAATTGTTTAAATAGAAAATTTTATCGGATAAATTTTTATTTTTCGAGAAAATCAAGTGAATATAAGAGTACGTTGCATCAAATCAAAAGAATTAATTAATAAAAAAAAAATAAATAAAAGAATAATTGGCAAATTTTAAAATTTTTCATATATACATACACGAACTCATTAAACTTGTCCATATTTTACAAATACTATTCAGACACTATTTCTCTCCGGTAAATTTCTCGAGCGATCGTAAGTATAAAGTATCGATTTCAAATGAATTCTACGAACCGTGAAAAAGTTAATCGATCCCCTTTTTTTTCGTGTCCCATTACGTACCCTCCCCATGGTCTCTTCTTATTAAGGAAGTCAGCTATGAAGCTATCCTACGGAATGCGAGGAAGAATTTCGAAATTGGGATTACATTGCGAATAGTGAGATTGGGAGAAAGTAAGTTCGCGAGCGGGAAGGAACGTGGAAATCGACGGTTGCGACAGTTGGCAACTGTTCTGCGGTTATTGGAAGCGTATAAACAGTCCACTCGTTCGCTAGAACTCGTGACGTCTCGAAGTTATTGGAGAGTATATAGCGAGGAAATGAAGCGAATGGTTGGCTAAACGATTGCTGGATAACTTGTAAAAGTATACGTAAGCGTATATCTTTTCCTTTTCACGGTTCATAAATTTTTATGTTCCAACGTTCTTTTTCACGCACCTGATGATCGTAAAATTGAAAATGCTCGAAAATTATTTATAACGACTAGGTTAACATCTGCATTTCTGCCAGATATTGACGCAGTTATGGAACTTTTAAAAGAAATTTTAACAAAGTATGCTCAAAGATTATCAACGTTTTTAAGAAAACTTTGGACTATATTAATTAATATATCTTAATTGATGAGATAAAAGATACATATATATGTATAAAAAACTGGCTGACGTAACAATCCTATTTCGCTTTCTTAAATCTAACCTCCGAAATTACAATATTAAATACAATATTAATACCTGGTATTTTATGTTATCCATTTTCGTTGTAGAAATATTCGTTTATGGAGTAATAACACTGAACTTTTGATGATAAAAACATTCCACAAAACATTCTAAAAACCCACAAAAACTTTCACTTTAAAACCAGAAAAAATTCAGTTACGTCCCACTAGGCTATTTGAACCGACAACTGCTTGAAGTTAGGCGCAGTTGCGCGCGCATCAACATCGCTACAGAGCGCCGCTATATTCATCGCGGGAAAATTACATATATTTTAAATGATTGTACTCCCCCGTTCAGAATTTCTTCACTTTTCTCGTAAAACTATCGAAGTGAAATAAATGCAAAATGTGAAATTCCGTACAGTTTTTAAAATTATATTCGTCGTGAATTTAAAATACATATAAGAGAGAAAGTTTCGAATAATAGAATTTTATTCGTATGCTAAAATATTTCTTACATCGCGATCAGAGACGAGAAATATGACGAACATTTTGATAAAATGATATCGATATGCAAAGGGTTGAGCATTGATTAACGAGTCAACACTTCGCGAGTCGAGAATCTACATTTCAAGTTAGAATATCGCTTTTACAGCCGATATATATACTCACTACAATCCTACATTATCCTTCCAAGTTCCAACTAGATACTCGATAAGTTACAGGAAGCGGAGAAACTGAGCTGTAAATATATCATGTACAGAGTAGAGTGTGCGAATATGACCGAGTCAAACTGCTTGCAAGATTCACTATCCTGAAAGCGATAGTTTGTATTTGTAACTGCTACGTATTACAAACAAGTAGTTTATGCACAGTTTATGTTTCGATAATAATATAATAATACGTTCTAAAATTTAATATTGAATTTACAATTTAATTGAAGATACACATAAAATTATTTTTCTTTTCCTTTTTCATCAAATGCAGTTACAATTTTAATTGAAATAACTTTCACTTGTTCCGTAATAATTTCCAAGCGATCTTCAAAATAATAAAATACTCTTTTTGAAGAATTAAAATTTCACGTAATTTCACGTCACAAATTTCAAAGTAAAAATAACAATTAATTAAGT